CACTCCCCAATCAATGTGAATGTTGTCCCCCATTTGAATGAGTGGATAAGAATGAGATACCTCACTACCAAGCATAAAAACTTGTGCTTAGTACCAAGTATACCCATATATATATAGGCTAAATACCCATATTGTCCCCAATCAATGTGAATGTTGTCCCCCATTTGAATGAGTGGATAAGAATGAGATACCTCACTACCAAGCATAAAAACTTGTGCTTAGTACCAAGTATACCCATATATATATAGGCTAAATACCCATATTGGTATTTTAATTCAACCCCATTTGCCAAGAAGGTATTTTAATTAAGAAAATCGGTGTTAAGGCATTTTAATTGAATAAAATTACCAATTAGGTCCTTTTTCTCGTCGGCGAGCACTTTTCCGGTGAGAACTCGTCACGTGTGTTGCATTCCATGGCTTAATCTGTGTTTAAGCTGCTGATGTGGCACTGTTTTCTGACATGACAGGGAGAATAAAAGAGGGATCGCATTGGGGAAAATTAGAAATTAGGGTTTATCAAATCGGACCATTGGAAGAGAAGAAATTATATCGTCGGCATCAAGTTCAAGCTCTCGTTCTAGGACAAGCAGGGTCAGTGGAAAATTAGGATCGCATGTAAGTATTAATCATGGTTTGAATGCTTTGGCAGGTATTAGAAGGTGGAACGAGGAAGCAAGGATGGTTGGCATGAAAATCTGTAAGTGTGGAATAGATTGTGGGTATTATACATCATTTACAGATGAAAATCCTGGAAGAAGGTTTTATAAATGTCAGAATCCTAATGGTGGCTGTGGAATGTGCGAATGGTTCGATAGACTTGTGTGCAATGTGTCTTCTACTCTATTTCCTATTCTACGAGATGAAATACTTAACTTGAGGAGTGACTTGAAGCTCAAGGATAGGTAGATTCAACGAGTTAAGGCCGAAGTGAAGGATTGCCATGTTGAAAATGCCAATTTCAGAGACCAGCTCTAGGTTTTATACGATGAGAATGCTTGCTCTTTGGAAGAAATATCAAAATTGAGAGATGTGAGTTTCAGATTAGAGGGTTTGCTTCAACTGGAGAAGAGGAGGATGATGTTGTTGAAGAGAGGAAGTTTGATATCACTTTTGTTTGTAGTCATTCTTATTGTGTATTTTTTTTTGGTTTATGGACATGGATATGTAATGTTTAAGAGCATATTGTATGAACTTATGAATTTAATGAGAAGAAGCATTGAACATGAAGATCTGTCACTGTTTAAGAGAAAATTTTGTCATGGTATACCCTGTTTTCATGAATTTTCTTTGTGAGTGAACCTGTACAATATAGTTTTCCTATGACAAAGCATACTCACAAGCTTAAGTTCATGCACAGAAGCTCATGTTCACATTGCACAATCAACATACTAACCAGTAACTCCAAGCTATGTAGAAATACATATTACAAAATGAACATAACCAAAAGCCAAACTACATAAGTCACCATCAATTGTCATGTGTTTGTCATGATTACAGTCACCAGCAACAAGTAAAAAGTCATTCAACTACATAAGTCTATATATTACCAAAAGCCAAACTATAATTACATACAATTATAACCCACTATTATGTGTACATGAAGCCTAAGTATGCTCCTCTTGGTGTACATGCTGGGTTGAAATTGGAGTTGAATCTTGTATGATTGTTGCTTGAGAGGCACTTGGATCTCTATAAGCTATTTCACCATGATCATCATGCCATAGGCCAAAACCCTCTGGCATAATGACTTCATTATTTCTTCCTCTGCCTCGGCCCCGTCGTCTATCACTCCTTCCTCTAGCATTTTAAGATTGATCTTACAAAATACATAACAAATTCAGTGCATCAGTAGGAATCTATATGAAAACTTGGTGCGCAAGAGTGTGTATTGTTTATTACCTCTAGCCATTGCTCTTTTATTTATGAAAACTTGAGATGGTGGAAGAGGGTTAGTTTGACTAAGCTCTTCAATGGAATTGTTAGGTCTGGTTTTGCTCCCCTTTGGTCTTCATCTTTTCTTCCTTCCACTTGTGCCTTCATCAAGAACTTGAGATTGATTTTCCTAGAAGTAAATCAATGGAGAAATTAGATAATATGATTGCATATGAGATTATTAAAGATATCTAAATAATTGGCATTACAATACCTATTGATGTGTTGGCCTAGGAGGATCTGTTGCTGCATCAGGACAACTGGGTCTTCTATGCCCTGTTCTGTAACAATTGCTACACTTTTGTATTAATCCCTGCCTTGATGACCTAGAAGGATGCTTGGAACCTTCAGATGAGACAATTGCTACACTTTTGTATTAATCCCTGCCTTGATGACCTAGAAGGATGCTTGGAACCTTCAGATGAGTCTCTCCTCCTAGCAGTTTTGGGTCTCCTGCCTTGATGACCTAGAAGGATGCTTGGAACCTTCAGATGAGTCTCTCCTCCTAGCAGTTTTGGGTCTCTCCTTTGGCCTTCTAACAATATTTGGGGGTAACACCATTCCCTCTCCCTCTATATCCCAATAATTACTCCCTTGTAATGGATTCAACATTCCTTTATAGGCAATCAAATAGTTTTCTTGAGAATACATCTCTGATAAGTACATTTCATGTTTCCTTCTCATAAGCAAGATAGCACTGACTGCATGTGTGCATGGTATTCTTGTCAAGTCCCAATTCCTACATGTACATGTCATATTTTTCAAATCTACTGCATGACTTTTCCCTCTATGGATTATCTCAAAACCAGTTTCATTTTCATCACCATTCCAATGGGCACAGCAATGAACTTGCTCCTGATATGCTTCCTCCAACTTCTTATGAATTCTAGGTGCAACTCCCCCCACAAATTTACATACAAGTTTCTTTTTCTCTTGCATTATATCCATTATAGATAATCTAATATCCTCTAACATGGACACTATAGGTTTATATCTTGCAAGTAATATAAAAGAGTTGAATGTTTAGGCCATGTTGTTGCTTACAACATCACATTTACTGTGGCATTTAAAATAAGACTTACAGAATGTGTTGGGGTCTCTAGCCATGAAGTCTTCATAAGCTTGCTCTGAAGTTCTCCTTAACTTGGCAGCTTCAGTTTGAAAAATTGGCATAGAGGTGGCTTTAGCACATTTCCAGAATTGACTTTGAAGGACCCTCCCACTATGAGTTTTCCTCCAATTAGAATAAATGTGCCTAGCACATTGCCTATGCTCAACTGCTGGCCATACTTCATGTATAGCAGGAACCAATCCCTAAAATACATACATAGTTAATCACAATGAGTTCATGAAAGAAAAATTTGAAATAAAGATAGCATTGCACAAACCTTTTGTTGGTCTGACATAACTGTCCAACCATTACCATCATTCATGTTTAGATCCACAGATTGCACAAACCTTTTGTTGGTCTGACATAACTGTCCAACCATTACCATCATTCATGTTTAGATCCACAGTCAAAATTCTTAGGAACCATTGCCATGAGATGTTTAGATCCACAGTCAAAATTCTTAGGAACCATTGCCATGAGTTCCTTGTCTCCCCCTCAACCACTACCCATGCTATGGGCCACATTTGGTTATTACCATCCCTCCCCATTGCACAAAGTAATTACCCTCCACAAGCATGTTTCAAAAAATAACTATCAAGACCAAATATTCTTCTACACCCCAAAGTGAAACCCATCTTCAATGCCTCAAAACAAACGTAAAATCTAAGAAATGTGCTTGGTTGTCCTGCCTCTCCCTCATCTACCTTCAGAACACAAGTAGTACCTACATTTGACCTCATTAGTTCTTTCATGTAAGGTTTTAGCAAGCCATGTTGTCTTTGCATTAATCCTTGGACTGCATTTAGAGCTTTCTCCTTCCCCCTCCTATATTTTTTCAATGAGACATTAATTTGAAAATTCTCATAAATGTCAGATAAAATGTTGCTTGCCTTCATCTTTGGATCCCTCAGAATTTTATCAAGATAAACATGTGCAACCCAATTATCAGTTCTTAATCTATTTTTAAAAGTCCTGCAGCAAGTATGATCATGATTAATAAATTTTATTTGTCAAACACCAGCCTCATGACAATCTGGACCAGCAGTCATCTGCCAAAAGCAAAGTGAACAGCCCATGTGAATCCTCTTAGTGTCATTCTTTATGTACACTAGATCATAGTGCTGTTGAATAGAATAATTTAGAATAGCCTCCTTTAACACACTCCTAGAAGTAAACTTTAACCCTGAAAAAGAAATTAAACATAAATGATTAGTAGTGCAATGATGTATACCTATAATTAAGATAAAACAATGAAATAATTATTGTAGTGCATAACTGGCTCAAAATACACAGCTTTCATATCCACTCTCTCATTGAAATACTTGTAGTTCACTCTTTCTTTTTTTTTTCTTTTTCATATTGATCTCAGGTGCTTCATGATTACTGTCAAACAATGGTCCCTCATCATTACTGCTTCTTTGATCACTCTAATAGCCTCCTTCAAAATTTGTCCAAAAACTAGGCCAGTTTTGAGTTTTAGGAATTGTGCCTCTACAGTTTGGACCTACTACATTCAATCCCACAATATGTGCTTGGTTATTTCCAGCATCTGTATCATGAATAGGGATGGAACTGGTGTTGACTTCATTAGCTTGTTATGGTTGTGGTTCAGGTTGTGCTTCATTAACTGTAGGAGGGGGACCATCTACATCATCTACCAATATTTCCCCAGCATTAAATGCTATTCTACCCTTCTCCTCCTCTAAAATTTTCTTATTTCTTTGCCTTATTTCAATCGACTCATCATCATTACTTCCTACCGGGCTCTTATGACTCTAAATATCTTCATATTCTGCCGAGTCTATATCTCCATCATCGTCCTCATTTGAAACCCCTACTCTTACATCAATTCCTCCTCCAACACTTTCATCTACATTCTTATTAGACTTCATTATTTGCTTTCCCTTTCATGATCTATTCTTTGCACTAAACTCATCAAATAATTCATTATCTTCACCATCATCATCATACAATGGCTCTGTGGGATCAATTCTAAAATTTTCATCCTCCACTGAGTCATCATCATCATCACTAGAAGATGTTTGTACAGATTTGTGAGGGGGTGAATTGGAGGGAATGGGCAGTAGTGATTTGGAGGGAATGGGCAGTGGTGAAATAGTAGGGTTTGAAACACTCACTTGGCCCTCTTTTACATCTACTCTTTTTTTGGGTGTTAACTTCTTTCTCCTAATCATAGGAATATTTCTTTTAGGAGAAGTAGCATTTGAAGTAGCATCTTCAATAGGGACATCCACTTCTACTGGCAGGTCAACACCGTGATTTGCATAGATTTCTATCCCTCTGTGCCTCAATGCATGCTCAATCATTTATGCAAGATCCTGATCTGAATTTAGAGGCTTTAAACCTCCACTAGCCAGTCCTACACTAGGAATAGAATAATACAACATCCCGACATTGTTATAACCATATTCTTTAACACTAATTTTAATTGTTCTAATGAAATATCTTCTGCATCACAAAACTCAACATAAAATGAACCACCAATGTATGCCACATTACTTCCGAAGTCCAATGAACCCTCATGTCTATATTTAATCATAATTTGCGTAGCCATCTGCATAATTTACGAAAAAAGGTAATAATTCTATCAAATTCAACCCATTATTTGGAAAAAAACCACAACTTTGAAAACCCTAATTCTATCAAATCTAACAAAATGCAACAAATTTTAGGTTTATCTTACATTTAACTCAAACTAAATATGTGATTAACTTATCCTCTTCAAAGCCACCAAAAGATCTCATAGGTATAAAGAGAATCAAACCTTCGCATCGGCTTCAACCCGTACCAAGTCGTCATCCTCCGCAAATCACCTAATGCATCAACTGAGGAACACCATCAGTTGAAATCCCTACAATCTATCGCCTTCAACTGCCTCAACGATGATGTCTCACTATCTATTTCTCCCTCTCTCTCACGCTCAAATTCTGAAAATGAAAGGGCAAATATGTCCTATTTTGGGTCCATATTGGTTTTTAGAGGGTTAATTCCCTGCCACGTGAGAAAACAGTGCCACATCAGCTGCTAAACACAGATTAAGCCACCGCGTGCAACGTACGTGACGAGTTCTCGCCGGATAAGTGATCGCCGGCGAGAAAAAGGACCTAATTGGTAATTTTATTCAATTAAAATACCTTAACGCCGATTTTCCTAATTAAAATACCTTCTTCGCAAATGGGGTTGAATTAAAATACCAATATGGGTATTTAGCCTATATATATATATATATATATATATATATATATATATATATATATGTTATATATATATATAATGATATATATATAATATATTTATATATTGATATCATACATACATTACATATAGATGATACATGACATTATGTATAATACATACATATAATGTATATTAATACATATATATTATATAGATATATATAACATATATATATATAGTATATATTATATATATCATATATATATATATATATATTATATATATATAGATATAATATATATAATATATATATTAATATATTATTTATATATATATATTATATATATATATATATATATATATATATATAATATATATATATATATATAATATATATACTATATATATATATATTGTATCTAATAATAGATACATATATATGTTAATGTAAATATTACATCTAACATATTGTATATTATGTATATAGTCATATATGTATATACATATAATATGTATATGACTAATATATATTATATATATATATATATGATCTCAAATCAATTCCTAGTATGATCAACTATTACAATATATTATTTATCACATATAACATATTTATTATTATATATCACAATATCCTCAAATTTACATGGCTTTACAACATCCCCATATATGATCTCAAATCAATTCCTAGTATGATCAACTATTACAATATATTATTTATCACATATAACATATTTATTATTATATATCACAATATCCTCAAATTTACTGGGCTTTACAACATCCCCATCTTTAAGAACATCTCGAACGAAGTGATAATGCACGTCGATATGCTTCGTCCTCGCATGAAAAATCTAATTCTTCACTAAATAAATAGTACTCATGCTATTATTATAAATGGCGATGGATTACTGCGAAATACCAAGATCCTTCAAAAGTCCTCGAAGCCAAATTGCCCCCTTAACAACCTCCGTAAGCGCCATATACTATGCCTCCATCGTAGATAAAGCCATCATAGACTACAAGATGCATCTCTAACACCTCAGCGTACAGGTCAAAGTGAACACATACCCCGTCGTCGACCGGGGTTTATCCAAATCTCCAACGTAATCCAAATCTACGTATCCAATATATGGCTGCTCACTGCTAGTGTCCCACTCAAAAACCAAACCAACATTGAGAGTACCTCAAAATCCATCTCATGACATCCCAATGATCCAGACATGGGTCGTGCATGTATCTAAAAACCATGCTCACTACCTGTGACAAATCCGGCCTCGTACAAACCATGGCATACATCAAACTCCCAACTGCGCTCGCATATGGAGTCTTCAACATGAACTCTCGATTTTTAACGGTCTTCGGTAAAAGGTCAGCTGAAAGCTTCAAATTGGCTCCCAACGGTACACTAACTGGCTGCGTTTTCATACTCACATTAAACCGCTATAGAACCTTCTTCAAATAAGTCACTTGTGTTAACAAATTCTGCCCTTGTATCTATCTCTAACGATCTCCATTCCCAAAATACGCTTAGCTTCACCCAAATCCTTCATCAAACTCGCTCGAAAGCGGAATCTTCAATCTATCTATCACGGATCTAGAAGTAGAAGCAACATTTCATCGACATAAAATAATAAATAAATATACATACCTCCATTCAACTTGCGATAGCACACATAATGATCAAATTGGCTTCTAATGTACGAATGACCGATCATGAACCCATCAAATTGCTTATATTACTGTCAAGGAGATTGCTTAAAACCGTATAACGATTTCTTCAATCTACAAACCAATTTATCCTTTTCTATAGTTCGGAATCCCAACGGCTGAGTCATATAGATTTCTTCATCATGATCACCATGAAGAAATGTTGTTTTTACATCTAACTAATCTAACTAAATCATATTATGCCACAAAAGCTAGCAAAATTCGAATTGAAAGAATGCTTCACCAACGGAGAGAAGATATCATTGTAGTCAATACTTTCCTCCTGTGCATATCCATTCGCAACCAACCTAGCCTTGAACCTCACGGAGTGTCTTCAATACCCTCCTTCTTCATGCACACCCACTTGTAACTAATAGCCTTCTGTTTCTTTGGAAGCTCGACAAGGTCCCTATGTGTCATTCCGATGAAGAGACTTCATCTCCTCCTGCATAGCCACCTACGACAAATCAGCCTCGG